ACCTTAATCAGCAAAGCTTCTAGGGTGCTTTTAATAATCTTCTGTAAAAGGGGGACTGGAAGGAGTCAGTTGGACTCATAAAGCAAGTCTGCAAACAACACATCTCTATAAAAATTACCCTGCTGGATAATTCAGCTCATGCATGACATGTTGGGATTTACTGGCAACTGGGAAAATGCTGGGCACCGTACTAGGAAGCATGGGATTACGGGAAGGGTGGGAAGGATGCCCAAATTAATGGAAGGCACCCATCCTTGCAGAAGGTGAGAAGAAGCCGCTCAAGCAAGCAGCAGGGCAGGATAGCAAATAGAAACTTGTCCAAATGCCAATTCTCCCAACAGGATGGACAGGAGCTGTTACCCAAAGGCTGCCTCTCAAGGGCAGCACACACGCTGCTTCACACAAAGACCAACGGTCTCTCCCCCCCCCACAGAGCAGCCTTAAGCGCACTACTGTCACCCACACAGGAGTAAGTGGCCTTCAGGTGCAACCTTGAAGGGCCTTTCCAATCTGGAGAAAAAAGCTTTTCCGGGGGATTGGCACCATCTCTACTCACAGGGTTGTACTGCAGGGCAGAAACGTAGGCCTGCACTGCCCCTTCCATGTCTCCTGCAGCTACCAAAGCAGCAGCGAGGTTAATGTATCCATCAATGAAGTCTGGCTTGAGGCGAAGAGCATGCCGGTAGTGTTCAATGGCCTCCTGCAGCTGTCCACGTTCCTTGTACACATTTCCCAGATTGGAGTAGGCTTCTGCCAGTAAGGGATTCTGCTTGATCGCCAAAGTGCTGAAGTGAGCAGATCTGGAGAACAAAGCACACAAAGCACAAGATTTAAGGTGCCTTTATCAAAGTAGCAATTATTCACTGGATCCTTGGCAGTTTCAAGAACTATCAACAGAATCCAAGTTCAACATTTGAAAAAGTCATTTTAATTGTGGATTAAAAAAAAATGCCTGCAGGTGGTCACAGTGAACTGCCACTCATCAGTCCAATCTTTTGACCCCGGGGGCTGCACAATTGGGTAGCTGTGACAGGCTGCACACATTCACTTCTTCCACGGAAGCCAATGTTAATCTTATTGCTTCGAGTGAGTGAGCTCTGGAGATGGACAGAGAAGCTGGGTTTTTACTTCAGGCATCCTTGCTGAAGAGAACAATGAACCAAAGCTGGCTTAATCTAGAGTCCTGAGATAGGGCACGTCTTCAGTCTTTTTTCTCCACAATTACTGCAGCAGCAATGCTCATATGCACAGCCTTAAGAACCAAGGACTGCTAATATTATAACGACATGTCTTTTTAATACTGTATTGTGGCTGGTTCAGAAACATTCTCTTTCAGTTCAACACTACTTGCTGTTTTCTAATTCTGTCATGTTACCAGAAATTTTACTTGAAGGTAGGATGTACTTGCAATGAAGCTTACTGCATACTTAGTATATTTTGAAATATTCTGTCAAATTTAAACAACGCAGAAACCTTTTGGGAGAGTTGCGTGGGAGCATCAGAATGCCATCCCGGTGCCAAGAGCCTGTCTTTCTAAGCAGTGCCCTAAGCAATGGGCAGAAAGGCACCATCTTCCTTACCTGTCCAGCCTGCGGCACTGGAAGTGAATGGAGGAGAGCAGTAAGAGCACCCCCGTGTTGTCAGGCTCTTGGCGCCAAAGTTGCATGCAGTGCCTCTCGGCTGCTTCAAAATCTCCAGCTTGATACTCCCGGTGAGCCAACTCCGCTAAGCCTTGGAAGGAAAGCATACGTTTCGTTGGTTCTGAAGAATCACCAAAACATTCAGGGGAGAGGGGGAGGAAAACAAAAAGTTAGAAAATGGATAAGCAATGGATAATAAAAATGGATAAACAATGGTGTAGAAATTAAAAGATGAAATGTCAACATCCAAGGGGTATTTGATGATTAAAGACAGACACATAGGACTTTCTAACTTAATGATGAATGATGGTAATTGTCAGGTTTCAAATATGTTGATCCTTTTCTTCACTAATAACGCCCCCCCCCCCAAAAAAAAATCTTAGCATCTTTAGCTTTACCTCAGCCATGACCTGCCTGTTTTAGGTTTCGTGGCAATCTTTCAGGGGCACTTTTTTTAAACAGGCCAATGTTAGAAATATACCATCATTCAGCCCAAGTCTTAATGTTGAAATCAAAATGTTCCATGTAAGAAAATAAAAACGTGATTCCATGCAATGAAATGGTGGCATACAGCAGGTACTGTTATCTGCCAAATAAACTTAACGTTGCTGAGAAGACCTTCAGACTTTGTTCAGAGAAAGCTATAGACCACTGGTTTTCCTGTGTGTTCATCATGTTGTCAGCTCCAGAGCAATATTCTCTCCCCAATAAAATCATGAGGGGAGATAATGAAACCCAACATTTGCTGGACTAGGAAATCAGATTTTTCTAATATCCTTGAAAATTAAAACACTGAATGAAACAATGCCTAAAATTAATTCAAGTCTGACAAACTGTTATGAACTAAAGTGAATTATTTATCTCAAACTACTGTACTATAAATAGTAAATAAGCGAAGTAGTTTGATGAAAAGCTGAACTCAAAGATGTTATCTTCAGAGAAGAAAAGAAAGATTTGCACAAGCTTTGTAAACAGCCTCATAAAAGCTTGCACAACACTTCTCTGTAATTTTCCATCAAGATGGTAAGTTAGCAAATAAACCAGGGAATCAGAATGCCCCCACTTAAAAAAATAATAATTGCAATGCTGCAATTTCAATGGCATCTTTTTTTAAAAAAACACACTTTTTTAAAAAAAGAGAGATTATGACAGGCCTCAATGGACCAGGGGTTGCTTAATACTGGGGCCCACAGAGAAATTGTATAGGAAAGAGACCAATTCTTTTCCTTTTAGCTGTTTTTCATCTGAAATTTACAACCTTGCCCAAAGTGATTTATCCCACTACCCAGAATATAAACCTGGTTTAAAAGGGGGGTAAAAGTCACTTGGCCAAGATGAATTTCTTGGATAATTCTAAACTGTCTTCAACTCTTTAGCCACTTAAAAACCACCTTATACCATTATGCAATGCAGCAATAAGATTCTGTACATTAAAAATTCATCCAGAAACCCTAGGAAGAAAAACATCCACAGCATTTCACTAGCCTATAACAGTGAAGTAGGAACTGAATACAAACACCTCAAACACAAGGGTTATTCTTTATCCCCTTGCCACGCAAGGTAAATTTTTTTAAAGTGTTATAAGAAAGGTTATTCATCTGTGGGAGGGAGAGATGGATTTCCCCTTTTCTCACAGGTAAGACAGCAAGGCAATCTTTAGAGACGAATTAGGAAATTTCAATTGTGGTTATATTATTTGAAACATGAAAAATTACACAGCATGCCATTGTTTTTATTTGCGTGCATTATGTTCCTACATGAATTCGTTTCGCTTATCGTAAGAAGCCAAACTGGCCTGGCACGTATCCTTTATCTGTTAGCCGCACATGGCCCCTAAGCGGGCCCCAGCCCCAAGGGTTTTAGCTAACAGCCGCTGCCCTGGACAGCCACCCTCGAGGGGAAGGAAGGGACGATCCTTCGGCTCTGAAAACAACCCCCACCCCACGAGGGCCAGAGCCTGCTAGGAGTCGCAACCGACCGTCCCTCCGGGGAGAAGAGCAGTCCTCCGGCCACCATCAAACCACAACCACCATTTTGTTGGGAAGGGAGCTGTGTAGCTAAGGAGCCCCAAAGGCTGCAGGGCGCCTTTGCGGGGCGGCCGCAGAACCAGCGGGGGGGAAAACACCGCACGGACCAACTGCGCATGTGCACGCGGGGGTCCCGCACTTGCCCCCCCCCTCTGAAAAAGCCGGCGGGCCCACAACGCTTGTCCTTTTGCGAGGCCGCCGGGAGGCTTTTCAGCTGAGGCCCGAGGAGCCCCCACGTGCTCCCGGCCGCACCTGGGGGAAAAACGCCGGCTGTCCCGAGGCCCAAGGATTCCCCCTCCCGGCGGCTGCTGCGGAGGAGCCGCGGCCCTTGAGGCAAGGACGGCACCCATTTCCCCACCCCTCACGGGCCTGCCGCCCAGACAGAGGCCTCCTCGGAAACGCCGACGGCGCTGCGGAGCCCAGGCGACGCTGCCCAGCCCTCGAATGGCGGGAGGGGCGGGCTCGGCGACAGGTACCTGTGCTGTCGGCCACGTTGCCCACGGACGCCGCCATGGCTCCGATAACCGCCTCGCTGGCAATCCGCCTCGGTCCCCGCCGGCTCCCTCGCGTCTCTCCTCAGGCTGCGGCTCCCGAAATGGCGGCGGCGGCGGCGCAAGAAGACGGCCCCTGAGCGAAGCGCCTCGCCGGGACTTCTTTCGCCTCCCGCTACGAAATAGCCCCTGGACTCGTGGTGGTGATGGTGGAGAGGCAATTCGGCTCCCTCCCGCAGGGGAGAGGTTTACGGGAAGGGCGCCGCGCGATCCGCGGCCTCCTGCCTCTCGCTCTCCCAAAGGGCCTCAAAGTAGAAACGCAGCTCTTTCTCCCCCCGGCACCGTCTCCGTCCGTAATTCCTCCGCTGGACGCTTCACTGCGCAGAACGCATGCGCGGTAGCTGGTCGGTGGCGAGCGCTCCCTCCTTTATGGAGTGGGGCCGGGAGGGGCGGGGCGACCGCGGAGGAAAAAGGGCGGGAACTCGATTGCGACACAGTGGGGGGGAGGGCGCCGCAAGGGGGCGGGGCTCCCCCTCCGACGGGGCGCAAAATGGCTGCCTCTCCTCCATGGAGATTGTGGAGGGGGGGCTGGGTGCATTGGTGCTTATCCCCCTTTTCTCCCAAAAGCAGCCTCTCCTTCGCAGCTGGGTCCCTCCCTCCCACCCACCCTGAAAGCAGGAGGCCCCGGAACGTTCCAGAAAAAGATTTATTTACAATTGGGGGAAAAAATGTCCACATGCTGCTCACTCCCTCCCGCCCCCCCCCCCCCCAATAACTTAGGTCCAGGGAAGCCCTTTAAGTGGTGCTGCCTTCCCAGGGAGGCCAGCAGGCCACAAGCATGCACATACATGTCCAGGGCCACAGGAGGGGCAGTGGTGGCTCCCCCCCCCCCTTCCTGCCCAGGGTCTCCTGTCCTTCAGAGGCCGGAGGGAGAGCGAGAGTCCGAGAAGGCCGCTGCCTCCTCCTCGCCAGGCCGCCCTCACTCGTCCGAATCCAGATCGCTGTCTCCCGCTATGGAGTGGAAGTCCTCGCTGTCGTCCTCGTCCTCCGACAGATGGACCTGGCTGAGGACGCTGGGGCCGCATCGCTGCCCTTCCTCCTCTTCCTCCTCCTCCTCCTCTTCGGAGAACTCGTACCCGCCCAGGCTACTAAAACTGGCATCTCGCGTGTTGGACTTTGGGCCTGGCTCCTCGTAGCTCCCGTAACTGGAAAAGAAACAAGAAGGGTCCCTCCGTGTCAAAGGAAGCCGCACCGTTGGGAGTCTCCCGCTGAACGGTGGGGGCTGCCCTCCTCACCTGGCGTTGCTGTCTTCCATGGCATGAGAGGCCTCTTCTCCAGCTCCCTCGTAGGACATCATGCTCTCCTCGTTGTCCATGCCCATCCGCGTGTTCTCTTGCAGGACGTGAGGCTGCTTGGGCCGAACTGCACTGGGCTCCACATCAGAATCGCTCCCACTCTCGCTAAGCTGAATAGCTAGGAGACACAACCAAAGAGTCACTGATGCTGTCTGTACCTTGCTTGCCAGCATACAGGTTCTCTTTCCCCATCACTGCTGGGGGCTTCTGGAACATTCCCTTCCCCGGCACCATCTCACTAATGAATGGGCTGGCCTTCAAAATCAGGTAAAGCAACACCACCACCACCACCACAAAGAAACAAAGACTTCAGCAGAGTTGTGCATTTCCCCAAAGGCTGCCAGGCACAATGCCATGACTCGAATCAACAGAACCAAAAACATCAGAAAAAAAGATGGTTAAGCGTTGGAACCACTTCAATAAACAGTACTTAATGTTTTCCCACATTCAGTACTGTTTATATTACCGTTTTACAGAGAGCATCAATTACTGGGTGGTATAAACATCTTAACGGTAAATAAACAAAGCATTTCCCCAATTGCTCCCATGGTGACTGTCCTATTCTCCTTCCAATTCACAGGCTCTCTCTTTTCTCCATTTATCTAATCTGCCCCTTTGTTTTTCACCATGTATCGGAGACTCTCCCTCCCACCTCTTTTCCTAAAAGTCCCAGGACCAGGAAGGCAGTGAAGCCTCTTTCCAAACTTATCTGACCCAAGGAAAACTCCCTGTGCTCAAATCGGCATCCCTTTTCTTAGGCTGCATTCTCCCCCCTCCCCAGTTCTATCCCAGGCTCAGATCCAACCCACTCGTGTGTCTCTGGGGAGAAACTCAGAAAGAAGGAGGGAGGATGCCTTCCCAGATCTTTCTCTCTGGAACTTGGGAGTATATACAATAAACAAGGGCGCCACCATTCCTGCCCTTTCCAGAACTCACACGAAAAGGGATTATCGCCTTCCTCCTCATCGCTGCCGTCGTCGTCCTCCCCATCTGACATGAGCAAATCTTCATAGAGCACGCTGGCCTGAGGCTGCTGAACCAAGCCTTCTTCCTCATCGGCCAGGTCCCCATCCACGTCCTCCGCTTCCTGTCACGGGAGAGCAGGAAGGAGAAGAGGCGGTCAGGAGCCGAAGCACAGCCAAAGGATGCCTGGCTTCCTTCCCACGGACACGGCGCGCCGGCAACGCCAGCTCTTTCCTAAAAACTGATTGCTTTGGCTAGCATTCCATCCGCTGCTGATAGGATCACTCCGGAGGAGGGCCCTGCACTGCCCCAGCTTCTGCCATGAGAGCAGAAGCCAACAGGTGGGTTCACGGATACTCACTGGGGCTGGAGTCTTAGGTTTCCCATCCTCATCCTCATCCAACCCTTCAATATCTACGTCAGAGTCTTCCTCGCCCAGCCTACCTTGGCCCTGCGGCATCTGAGTGAGGAACACAGAGATAACGCCACTGAGGAAGGAGCAGGCACGGGGTGGGGAGACACAGATGCCTTTAAAGCAGGCCAGCCAAGCTACCAGGGTAGGGGGGCACTTCCTGGCTGCCCTTGTTCTGCTGCCTCCACCAGGCCAATGCCTGCCTGTGCTCTGTGGGGATTTATCCTTTAGACTAGCTGAGCAACGGTCCCAAGCCCCAAAGCACAGAGCACTCTGGGCACCCGCTTTCTCTTCCCCAGCCTTGCAGGGGCCTAGAGACACAACTGCCCTCCCTGGACCGGAAGAAACCGACCTTTTGGGAGCAGCTGACAAACCCCACATCTAAGTGAACCCCCGCTAAAGGCCCCCGAGGAACATGCCCTCCCCATTCCTCCTCCTCAACTTTCCCTCTCTGCTTTCTCTGCCTCATATGATTACACCCAACACATTAAAAAAGAACCATACCAGGAAAAAAACATGTTTGTCCCAGGTTAGCTAGGCTACATTATTCTCTTTCCCAAGGAATGCTTTCCCCCATTATTTTCCATTCACTACAACAAGGATTCAAACGGCCCTCTGCATGTCTGGCACGTGTCTTTTCACACTTAAATGAAACCAGGGAAGGAGCAACACGCTTGGCATTGCCAAAGTTTCTGGATCTTCAGAAACGTTCCTCACTTAATGTGAGCTTGGAGCCCAAAGGCGAGGCATGAGTGAAGTAACAATAATGGGGATTCCTCGCCTCTTTCTATCATTTCTTTTCCCGGCTGCTCCAAACAGCGGAATACCTTCGAAAAGGCTTTTCAAAGCCAAGAGATGGTTGCATGCGTCATTCCCAGAAATTATCATCGGAGCAAACGAGGCCTTTTGCAAAAGAGCTCTTTGGCCGGGAACGAGACGGAAACTATGGCCCTTACTGTGCCGTGCCCTGTTCCAACGTATCTTCCCTCGACCCGCAGCTCCTGTGGTTAAAAGCTACTCTTCCTTTTGGCAGCCAGCGCCCCTGCCTTTTCCTGCAGAATCCTCGGGTGCGTTTCTGACCTGTGCGGACTGCTTTTCGGGTGTCGTGGTGGGCGTGTCCATGGCAGACAGGTTGCTCTCATCTTGGTAGACGGAGGCATCCCGGGACATACTGAGCGAGGTGTTGGTGTCATACAAATCGGGTGGCTGCAGGGCGTTTGAAAGGAGGAAATCGGAGTCACGGGAGTGCAGGTGAGAGGCCAGCTTCCCGAGGGGCTTCCGGAAACGAGCTCCTCCCTCCCTTTCTCTTAGCCATGCTGAACCAAGCACTCTTGACTGTGAGAGGCTGGAGCCCAGAGTGTGCTATTCAGGGAAAGTGCGAATGCCCAGGGCTTCCTGCCTCTCTGCAAGAAGAGTGAAAATGATGGCTCCTCCTTTACTGACCCACATTCCCAGTGAAGGACAAGCAGAGAATCCTTGCTGCGTTCATCCCTATTGGTTATCGTTCACCGCTTGGATGACCTTTTTCTATTTTGCTTTTGAAGCCTTGGCTGAAAACAGCCTTTGGAACCAGTGCAGCCTTTCGGTCAGGCTTTCTAGCAGCTGCATCGCCTCCGATCCCATTCTGACCAGAGAGCTGGAGAAAGCCTGGGAAGACCCCGAGAGAGCTGGTGGATCATCTAATGCAGTGTTTCTCAACCTTAGCAACTTGAAGATGTTTGGACTTCAACTCCCAGAATTCCCCAGCCAGCATTCGCTGGCCGGGGGATTCTGGGGGGTGAAGTCCCAAAAACTTCAAGTTGCTAAGGTTGAGAAA